GGCTCTGTGGACTCTGGACTTTCATTCTTGGCCACAGCAGCACTTCCTGGCCACCCCCAGCAGTTCCTTGGATATGTAAATAAACACTCCCGGTGAGACGTCACCACCCCCGGCCAAGCAGGAGGGCAAGTTCTGATGCCAGAGGGACCGACTTTCTGCAAGAGACATGGAAAGATGCCCACTGGGCATCTTTTCCCAAAGCCCAAGTCCAGAGAGGCCAGCAGACATCCTGAAATGGATTCTGTGGGAGCAGAGTGGAGGGCTCAGCCAGGGGGTCTGCAGACCCACAGGGGGCCCAGATCCCCCCACCCTAGAGGATCAGTTGCTTGGGAAACAAGCCACTTTGCAAAATGCTACCCAGATGGTCCCTCAGCCAAATCAGCAGCAGCCAGCTCTTTGACATCTGACCCCCTTGGAGAGGACAATCATCGGTTGACTTGTCCAGAAGAGCAGCCCCTTTATTTGGGCCTTGTTTCTTCCTTCTTCCAACCTGATGGTTCCAGTGAGGACTTCCAGAAACAGTACACTATTTTATCGCAGGAGAGGGAACATAACCGAGGCTGGGGAATCAGAGAAACACATTCCCCTGGCCACAGGGACCAGTGGGACGTGGGACACAGGTTAGCCCAGAGAGATCTTCCCAAGGAATCTTCTTACTGGGTCTAGTGGGGAAAAGGCTCTCACAGCTACAGTCCAGGAACCAGAAGGACATGAATTGGAATGGGCTTGAGGCTCTGTTCTCTCTGTTACGGAAGAAGCCCGCCTACGCTGGGACTGATTGAGGCTGGTACCCCGAGAGGGGCACAGAGTTTGGGGGAAAAGAGAGAGAGATTGGGACCTAGGACCTATGACGGGGTCCCTAATCTCAGGACCTCAAGTTCACGTGAGTATGTGTGTTATGATTATATGTATATGATTTTCATGAAACAATACTTATACCCTCCTTATGTATGATGTGTTCTGATCTTTCCGTTCTATTTCATGTCACTTTCTTTTACTACTACTTGAGACCCACTAAGTTGATTTCATGACACACGGAAGGGTTGTGACCTGCACTATAAAAACAACCGAGCTGGATTAATAGCCTTCCAATAAATCCTTGTTTTTGCCAACACTAGTTCAAGTTGGGTTTGTCACTTGCAACCCAAGAAAATGCTCGTGAAATTCACCCCTTGCTGCCCTTTGCCTTCAGTTCCAGCCCTGCCCACCCCCACGCCTGGCCAGGGTCCACAAGGAGTGCAGTTAGCAAACTCGCTTGTTCGTACAAGTGTGCTGGGGGCTTCTGGGATGGGCTTTAGTGGCAGGAGAACAGGGAGTTAGACAGATCTCGGTTCTAACCCCAAACTTGGCACCTACTAGCAGGTCAGACACTGCATCCTTGGGTAAGGTACTCAAACCCATGAGCCTCAGTCTTGGCAACTATAAGTTGGGCTTGTGTTCCTGCCTCTTGGGAGGACCATGTGGAAGAAATGAGACCTTGCGTGAAACCGCCCAGCACAGGGCTCCGAGTGGAACGTTCTGCACTTGGCAGTTCCCCTCCCTCCAACCCCACAGTCACAAGAATCTTCCTTTTAGTGGGGGCAGGAGGAGGGGGAAACACGCCTCGAGAGTCTCTCAGATCTCCCATGAAAGGCGAGTCCTGTGTATATAAAAATAGTAACGATGCCAAGAGTCCCTGGTGACAATCTTTACCGTTGTCAAAATAAACTCATTCGATCCTTACAAGAACTTCTGGGAAGTGGGTGAAATGGTGCTGGAGGATTATCAGGACAAGCAGCAGGGGCCTGGACCCAGGGGTCACTTCTGTCCCCAGTGACCACTGCTTCCCTGCTCCGAGGTGGACTGGGCTCCTGGATCCAGGGGCTGCTTCCAGGCAAAGCTACGGAGCAGGGATGGAACTTTCGCTGCATTTGGCAAATCGTGCTCTCTGGGCAGCATTTGCTCAAACGTCCCCTAAATGCTGTAGCCAGGGAGAAGGGAAAAGATTCCTGGTATCCAGGAATTTCAGCGTCAGAGTGTTCCTCAAGGCCACTTCTCCACCCCTCATGACCGTCACTGCCTGAGCCGGGTTTCTGAGATGGAGCAACACAGAACGCCTTCCGGGCCGGTGAGCGTGGTTTGGGGTTATTATAACCATGGGCGTAGAGCGCCCTGCTCTGAGCAGCCCAGCTGGATTTTGTGCTGACTTTCCAGCTGCCTCAGGGTGGGAGGAGCCAGGCAACAGCTTGGCTGTCTTCCATGTGCCATCCTGGCAGCTCTGGGAGGGGAGGGGGTGCCTGTGTGCAGCTGGACCCTTACTAAACAAGGGATCTCAGAGAGCAGAGGGCAGCATGTCCTATGGGAGATCCACATAAAATTTACCATCCTTACCATTTTTAAGCGTGCAGTTCAACAGCATTAAGTACATTCACGTAGTTGTGCAACCAGCACCACCATCCAACTCTAGAACTCTTCATCCTGAAAACTGAAACTCTGTAACTCTGTATCCATTAAACACTCACTCCCCATTCCCCCTCCCTCCAGTCTCCTGGCGACCACCAATCTGCTTTCTGTCTCTATGAATTTACCTGTTATAGACTTTTCACATAAATGAAATCATACAATATGTGACTTTTCGTGTCTGGCTTCTTTCATTTAGTGTAATGTCTTTGGCTATTGTGAATAAGGTGCTATGAACGTGGTTGTACAAATAGCTCTGAGACCCTGCTTTCAACTCTTTTGGGTGTGTACCCAGAAGTGAGATTGTAGCATGTATCAGTACTTTATTCCTTTTTATAGCTGAATAATATTCCATCAAATGGATATGTCATGATTTATTTATCCATTCATCCATTGATGGTATGTTTATCTTTTTGAGGAACTGCCAGACTGTTTTCCAGAGTGGCTGCCCCATTTTACTTTGAGCTGGCCTTTCTTTTTTTTAATTTTTAAAGATTGTGGTAAAATACACATAACATAAAATTTACCATCTTGACAAAGTTCAGTAGCACTACGTACACTCACGTTGCTGGTGAGCTGCCCTTTTTGAGCTCCTGAGTCATGAGTCAAATAGGTAAAAAGAGGATTACGTTGTTGGCAAAAGTGGCTGGCCACATTCATCAAAGGGAAGCAGGCTTGCCAATACACACCAGGTGCAGGGAGGGGGATCCGTGCCTGGTTGCCCCACCATGGCCAGGGGGAAAGGCTGCCGGAAGGCTACCACCACTCCATTCTGGACGACATGAAGCTTAGGGTCTTCTTTGTGAAAAGGACTCCAACCTGCTGAGGAGCTGGCTGAGTCTAAGGGGACAAGGTGATGGGTAATCTAGGAAGAAGTCATGAAGACCCGCTACGACCTTGAACTAATACTTGTAAAACCCTTGGAACAGTACCTGGCACATGGCACACACTCAGTAAATTCTAGCTATAATGATAACTACTAACATTATCACTAATATCTTCCCCAAACTGGTAATGATAACATGAATACTAGTTTCAGAAAAAGATTATAACCAAAAGATTGTAACTCCTTGCTTGCTGTGCTATGGAATAATTTTTCAGAATTTTCCATCCCTCTCCTCTTCATTCCCTTCACTATCTATGAGTGGTGGTTAACTTTGCCCCGTAGGCCATAGATTTGAGAATGTCCGTCAGGGTTCTGACAGAAGGAGAGAAGGCCAGAGATCCTGGATTCAGAGCCCAGCGGCTCCAGGGGGGTCCACTGCCTTTGGATATACTCACTGGTCATAACTGCAGGACACCGACTCCTGGAGAGGAGTGGGGACATTCAGTGCTTTCTCTTGGTTGTTGCATCTCATAAGAAGGCATTATTTAATCGTATACCTGGAAGAAGGGGTGTGTGTGTGTGTGTGTGTGTGTGTGATGGGCAAAGGGTGGGATGCAGTGGCCACCTGTTGCTTCTACCTGCCCAACACCCTCTCTTGGCCTTTTCTGGGAACAGCGCCCCCTTCCTTTGGTAGCTGCCTCTCCTGCCCGTGTGGTTCTGGTGGGTGTACCAACCAACAACCCTCACCTTCCCGCCCACCACCTTGCTAGGTCTGAATGTTTGTGTCCCTCCAAAACTCATATGTTGGAATCCTGCCCCCGGGTGATGATATTAGGAGGTGGGGCCTTTGGGAGGTGATGAGGTCATGAGGCTGGAGCCCTGGTGAATGGGATTAGTGCTTTTGTAAAAGAGACCCCACAGAGCTCCCTGGCCCCTTTCATTGTGTGAGGACACAGCGAGAACCCGACAGTCTGCACCCCAGAGGAGGGCCTTCACCAGAACCCACCCATCAGACAGCCTGACCTGGGACTTCCAGCCTCCAGAACCGTGAGAAATAAACTTTTGTTGTTTATAAGCCACCCCGTCTGTGGCATTTTGTTACGGCAGCCCAAATGGACTAAGACACACCCCCAAAACAGGGGTGGGCACATGACCTCAGCTAGGCCGATCAGATTCACAGGAATACTTAGCTAGAGGGGCCGAGAAGGGACGGCAGCTGAGCCACCTGATGGAAGCAGCCTCGTGAGTCGTCCCCGGAGCTCCTGGCCAGCTGCCAGCCTCCTGCTTCCAGATCTTTCCCAGGCCTGCGGTCCTGCCATACCTCTGAGGCTGGAGCTGCTGCACGGGCTTCCCAAACAATTCTTAAGTTTAAATTAGCCCAAATCAATCTCTATCGCTTGTGTCCAAAGAACTTAATACCATCACAACTCGGAGCAGCCCAAGTGGGGTGATGAGGAGAGGGCAGGGGTGACGCGGAGATTCTGACTTCCCGCAATCAGACTGATGAAACGGATACTCCTGCACACACATTCAGGTGACGAAAGTGAAAATGCTGTTGGTTTGTTTGTTAACGGTACAAATTCTCTAAGCCTTGGACAAATGTGACAGAGATGTTTTTGAAACACCTGCCAATGAATAGTTCCCTTTACAGTATTTGTAAATTGTGCCCTCTCCTCCACTGGCTAAACCATGGCGCCCAGTCTCCCCAGGAACAAGGACAAAGGGCAAGTCCTTCATGGCGCTGGTGGGTGTGTCATGGAGCGTGGTAATGCGCTACAATGAGCGTATAACGAGCTTCGGGGTCAACAGCACGTCAAGTCAGACTGCCATGTTGCCTTCAACTGGCGTTAACTGGTGTTGACTATATGTCGTAGCCATCTCCTCCTTCCTCTCGTGGTTTCCTGTAAGTTAAAGAAAATACGTCAGGCTTGTTCTGAGCAGGGCTGCGGTGCCTGGCTTACGGGGTGAGTGGGCCAGGTAACACTTAGGGGAGGGGAGGGGGGGATAGGACCCGTGGAAGTCCCCACCAGAGAAGGGTGCAGGAGAAGCCTTCCAGGATGGGGAGGGACAAGAAGAAAGTCAGAGGGTGGCGTCCCAACCGCGGCTCCTCCCCATCCTAGTCAAACTCTGTGGCAGGAATGGGGAAGAAGGCAGTGAGGAGCAGCCTCCTGAGAACCTGGCCTTCTGAGAGCCGAGAAGACTGTGTGGTTGTTTGAGTGGAGAAAGCAGCTGAGACACCACCTCTGTCCCCTGCCGCTGTCCACGGGCTGAGGGCTGAGGGCGCGGGGACCTCACGGAGAAGTGAGAGCCTGTTCCCAGGGCGGGTGGGATGCAGGTGTGGCTGAAACCAGGCACCTGCAGCTCCTCAGAGCCGAGGTGGCACCACCAGCTCAGCAGAAAGATGAGGCCGGGTGGGCTTCAACAGCAGGAGGCAGGGCCGCCCAGTGGGAGGGTGGGACAAAGGAGGCCTCCGTGCAGGCTCGTGAGACCCAGAGCATCCACATGGGCACCCACACCCAGACACCATCTTGGAGCACAGCAAACCTCTAAGGGGAGAGAAAAAGCTCTGATAGAAACTTTGAACCTGAATTTGCCTAAATATTCAGCCCTTAAATGACTGACTTTACCTGAAAGATTGCTTTAGATCGTAGGAGACTGAGGTCTCTTAAGGCCCGCTTGTTTCCTTTCAGCAGGGTGGGGCCCTGAGGAAGGTGGGTGAGTTAGGAAATGAAACAACTCCATCCTTGTGCTCATCTGAGGTACAGGGCCCTCAGGTACAGGCCTGTTTTCCATCTCCCCACATAGGCGGCCTTCCCTGCATGTGACAGATTATTTTGTCACCCAGCATCTCTTGGGGCTATGGTCTCACCAGAGCCGCTGTAGTAGAAACCACCCCTAGTCCAGTGGCCGGCGGGTCCCCAAGGCTCCTGGATCTGAGTAGATGCCATGAGCTCGGGATCTGTTGCCGGGAAGACAATGGGGAGGCCCAGGTGGCACGGCTGCCCAGGTTGGCCAGGTCCACCTCAATGACAGCCTCTGTTCAGGGCAACCCCAAGTTCAGGAGGCCAGGATGCCAGGGCTGAAAGGCTCCTGTGAGTCCCCGCTCCGGGACCCACCAGCCTCTCATTCCTGCTCATAGGGCCCAGGGGACATTAGTCAGCCCCTAACCCCCGCAGAAGACTGACTAAGCGGTCCACAGCTTCTGCAAGGCAACAGCCCCCGGTGTGGCCTCCGGGAGGACTGGGAGAGAACTTGCAGACTTCGGGGCATGTAAATAAGAAAAAACTACACGGCCCCCGCTCCCGGCTTGCACACACATGGAGAGACACAACCTCAGCCCAAACTGCACTGTAGGCTCATTCCCACAGATGTGGAGTCTAGAACTGGTTCTGCTATTTCTTAGCTGTGTGACCAAAGGCAGGTCACTAACCCTCATGAGGTCTCAGTTTCTCATCTGCAAAATGGGACAGTCAGGACCACAATCCTGTATCTCCCATCACTGGGGCCAGATGTGTTTCCGAGTTTCCAATTTTTTGGATTTTTGGAAAGGTGCAGATATTAGATCTTATGTAACATCCCCAGCAGCCCTCTTTAGTTAAACACTATTTATATTTCTGCAGTGAAATTATGAATATTCACATTCAATGGGATACCTAAAAACTACAAACTTGCACCAGTTCAGGTCAGGTTTTACCACCAAATGAATTATGGAAAATGCTTCAGTTTGCAGAGCATTTTGCATTTCAGAATTACAGATAGGAGGTTTTAGACCTTTAATGCCATCCACCTCATAGGGTAGGAAAAGGACTAGACAACAATCATTGCAGCCAGTGCTGGTGCATTTGTTGGGTGCTCGTTCCACGCCAGGCACTGCATTGCTTGCTCATGGGCTCCTCATGACAGCTCTATGCCACAGAAGCTATTCTAATACCCATTTCACAGATGGGAAATTGAGGCCAAGGGCAGTTGAGGAACCGGCTCACGGTGACACAGCTCCAAGTGGTCTGCTCCACTTGGGAGGCCTTGTGTGATGTAACCACCCTTGCTGTGCCCATGACACAGCTGGGAAAGGGGGAGGAGAGCCTCAGCCCTCTAACTTTGATTTGGCTGCCCACTTCACTGCACATTTATTAGAAAAAGAAGCAAAAAGGACAGTAAAAATGAAAGCTGTTTCTCAATAAGCTCCTGAATTCCCAGAAAAGTTGTGATGGATATTGGCATTTTTGGTCTGCAGCAGTTAACCGAGAGCCAGTTGTGCAATCCCTGCGCAGAAGAAGCCAGCAGAGCCTCGGGCCTTTTCACTGGGCAGCAAAACCAGCTGGAGACTCCACACTTTGTGTTTGTCGTCCTGTAGCCCGGACACTCACAGCCCCTGACGGAGCAGAGCCCCCGGGAGAGGTGAGAACAGAAGGCGGGGAGTCCTCCTCTCCCTCAGGACCTGAGGCCACAGGGAGAGTTTCCTTGAGAGCGGGTGGGACAGCGGGCAGTGGAGGGAGGGCTGCTTCAGGGCCCCGGGAGGACAAGGTGCCCAAGGGGTTGGCTACAGGCACTTGGTTCAGGAAAAAGAGCTGCTGTCAGCGCCACCAGGGTTCAAAACCCCGTCCAGCCAGTTACTAACTCTGTGAGCTTGGGAAGTGTCTGATCAACTTCTTTCCATGATAAATCAGGACAGGAATCACTTCCCCTGAAGGCTGGAGCGGAGAATCAGTCCCTCCTGCCCCTTGCAGCTTCTGGTGGCCCCAGGCAATCCTTGCCTTGTGACACTCTAACTCCAGTCTCTGCTCAGTCATCACATCACCTTCTTTTCTGTGTCTCTCTGTGTCCTCTCTCTTCTTGGAAGGACACCAGTCATTGGATTGAGAGCCCACCTGAAACCTAGGATGAGTTCATCTCGAGATCCTTAACTAATTCCATCTGCAAAGACGGTATTTCCAAATAAGGGCATGTTCTGAGGTTCCAAGTGGACATGAATTTTGGGGCACACTAGTCAATCCACTACAGGGGACAAACAGTCTTTAAAATTTTTTACGGTCTCACAGGCAGGGCATGGCAAAAAACATTGATACAAAAAGTATCAAAGGGAACAGAGCGAAAAGAAAGCTTCCTTCTCATCACCCTTCATCCAATCAGTGGCACTGGCTTCTTGTCTGTACAAACACATGTATCTTTTTTGTAACAAATGGAAGCATCTCTCTGGTGTTCTGTGCTCTGCCTTTTTACTTACCATTGTATATAGGAGAGCCTTTCACATCTGTTCATATAGATTTGCCTCATTTAGCTTAATGGCTACATATTATTTCATTGTTAGATAAACCACTATTTATTTGACAAGTTCACTTCAAATGAAAATCTAGGTGGTTTTCAGAATTTTTTGCTATGAATAATGCTGCAATGATTCTTTTTTCTTTCTTTTTTTTTTTTTTTTTTTGGGTGTTTGCCTGCTATGACTTTTTAAAAAAAATATGCTTTTATTTTTTAGAGCAGTTTTAGGTTCACAACAAAATTGAGGGGAAAGTACCGGGATTTCCCATCCGTTCCCGCCCCCCCTCGCCCCCACACATGCGTAGCCTCCCCCATTATCAACATCCCCACCACAGTGGAAACATTTGTTACAATTGATGAACCTATATGGACACATCATTATCACCCAAAGTCCACAGTTTACATTAGAGTTCTTGGTGTTGCATATTCTATGAGTTTGGACAGATTTATCATGATATGTATCCATCATTATGGTATCATACAGAACAGTTTAACCGCCCTGAAAATCCTCTGTGCTCCGCCTCTTCATCTCCACCTCCCACCCGCCCTCCACCCCACCTCCCATCAACCCCTGGCAACCACTGATATTTGTACTGTCTCTACAGTGTTGCCTTTTCCAGAATGTCATATAGTATGTAGCCTTTTCAGACTGGCTTCTTTCACTTAGTAATATGCATTTAAGTTTCCTCCAAGTATTTTCATGGCTTGATAGCCCATTTCTGTTTAGCACGGAGTAATATTCAATTATCCAACTGTACCACAGTTTATTTATTCCTTTACCCACTGAAAGACATCTTGATTGCTTCCAAGTTTTGGCAATTATAAAGCTGCTATAAACAGCTGTGTGCAGATTTTTGTGTGAACACAAGTTTTCAATTCCTTTGGGTACATGCCAAGCAACACAATTGCTGGATTGTATGCTAAGAGTATGTTTAACTTTGTAAGAAACCTCCAAACTGTCTTCCAAAGTGGCTGTACCATTTTGCGTCCTCACCAGCAGTGAATGAGAGTTCCTGTTGCTCCACATCCTCACCAGCATTTGGTGGTGTCAGTATTCTGGATTTTGGCTATTCTATTAGGTGTATGCTATGGTTTTTTTGTTTGTTTGTTTGTTTGTTTGTTTTAATTTTGAGATAATTGTAGATTCACAAGCAGTTGTAAAAAATAGTACAGAGAGATCCCATGTTCCCCCTTTGCCCAGTTTCCCCGGTGGTAATATTTTGCAAAGCTATAGTACAATATCACAACCAGGAAATTGACATTGGTACAAACCCCCGACCTTATTCAGATTTCACCAGCTTTACTCACACTCGTATGTGTGTGTGTGTGTGCACGTGTGTGCATTAAGTTCTATGCAATTTTCTCACATATGTAGATTTGTGTGGTCACCACCACAATTAAGAATCACAACAGCTTCATTACAAGGATCCCTTGTACTCCCCTTTTTGAGCCACAGCCACTCCCTTGCCTGCTATGATTTTGTTCACTCTTTTAGTGCCAACTTTTCTGAGTCACTATGTTTCAGCTGATTCTCTTGTGAGAAATATATATGATTGGGTTCTGCTTTTTGACCCAATCCGAGAGTCTTTTCCTTTTAATAGAGGATTTTTATCCTGTTTATAATTATGGAGAATACAGAAACTACTGTTCCTTAACATTTATTGAGGTAGACATTTTACTAGCTATTTCACAGGAAAGGGAAACAGAGCCGTGAGTTAATTTTCTTGAAATCACAGAACTGGTGACAGAGGTGGCTGAATCCACTTTACCATACAGTTGCCATACTAATTATAGGGCCTGTTTTCTCCTCTAAAAGGGTAAAACAACATCTCTTCCCAGCCAGACAGGCTGTCATTCTGAATATGGAAAAGAGCAGAGACACCCTTTGGAACGTTGCAACAACAGAGACATCTCAAATCTGCCAAGGTAAGCTTTCCTCCATCCTGGCCATTTTCATTGGAGGGTAAAGCAGAATCCAGCGATGTCTTTGTAAGAGAAAGATGGAAAGCAGAATGACCCAGAACATTTCAGGATACACAAAGACGTGACCGTCATACTCAAACCTTTCGTTATCAGACCAAACATGGGTCCCTTCTTGGGAGTCAATCGAATTGCACCATAAGAAGCTGTTTCACAAAGTAGAATTTTTATTTGCAGCATGCAGCAAAGAAAATGGAGATCCTAGGGAATAATTTCACAAAGCTATGGCCCCCTGAGCTCAGAGAAGTGGGTATCTTTATTTGGGGGAGGCAATGAATATTCAAAGGGGAAGTTTCATCATGGCATGGAAGGGTGGGCATAAGCTTGCACATGCGTGGTTTGAAATCATGTTTCTACATACATCACATGACTTAAAAATGGCTGCTTCACCCGTCCTAGAGGAGGGGAATTTACGATGTTAATGAGGGCAGGTTACTTTAGTACAACTCTCTGCCTATCTGTGCCGGTGCCAGTCTTGTTGTTGTGGTCTGGGCAAGTCTGGGGTGGTTCAGAGCAACTGGGTCCGGGGCAGTTGTTGCTTAGAGCTTCTTTCTGGAACATAGCTGAAAACCACATAAGCTCAAGGCCCCAAGGTGTTAGATAAAGGAACACCTACACCTTTCAAGAAGACGAAAGAATTAGTCAACCACAAAGATTAGAGTTTAGACAGGACAAGAGAAGTGGGTTAGGGTCCACGTCTGGTGACAATTTCACTTGGATTCCACAATGTCATTCTCTGCTCTCCTTGTACTTCACCAGCTGGTCCTTCTCCACCTCTTGGTGCTTTCTTCTCTTGTTCCTGGGCTTAACTGTTGGAGTGCTCCAGGGCTCAGTGTTGGACCATCCTTGGCCTCTATGATTACTCTCTCCCTGGGGTGACCCCATTTTAAGGGCTTTAACTACTTTCTACACTGATGACTCCCAAATTTAATCTCCTGGCCAAAACAAGACTCTTATATCCCCTGCCTACTCAACATCACTTGGACGTCTAACTGGTATCTCAAATGTAACCTGCCCCAAACTGAACTCTATTACCCACCCAGAAACCATTCGACTCTCCCCATAGCAGTAAATGGAATCTTTGCTGTAACAGTCATTCAGGCCCCAAACCTGACTCATCTTGAAGTCATCCTTGACTCTGCCCTCTCACCTCCCACATCCACTGGTAAATCCTATGGATTCCTGCAAATCTAATCATTCTCGTCACCCCTGCCAACCAGGTCCAGGCGGCCATCACCTCTTGCTCCAACTACTGCAATAATTTTCTAACTGGTCTCCCTGCCTCCCCTCTTGCAAACCTAGAGTCTATTTTTCAGCCTGAGTGATCATTTTAATAGACAAGTTAAATCAGGGCCACTGCTAGCCCAGATGGTGCCTTAGGGCTTATTAGAAAAAGCCCAGCCACGTCCCCACCCCCAGGGGACAGAGCTCTATGGACACCTGGCTCTACAAATGGATGGCAGCTTTGTGCAATCAAAGTGTCCTTTCTCCAGATAGACACAGCACCTCCCCCACCCTTGGCCCCTAGGGCTCACCACTCGGAGAGTAGATTCTGGATGGACTCCAGACCCCACCTGTATGCTCAGACAGGGCCTCTTGCATTTCTCATAATATTAATATATCCTTGGAGGTATAATTTGTACAAAGGAGCCTTATAAATTGTTGCCTCATCCTGTGAAGGTGATCTTTTGATCATTGTAATCAATTGGTTCATCATAGCCAATGACTGGAAACAAACCAAACATAGTCAATCAACAGAGGTATAGATAAATTATAATGTATTTATATAATGAAATACTACATAGCAATCATTTTTAAAACTACTCATGCCCACAACAACACGAATGAATGTCCCCGACATTATATTGCGTGAAAGAAGCCAAACAAAGGAATTCATTTATATGAAGTTCAAGACTAGGCAAACCAGGGCCGGCCCCATGGCTTAGTGGTTAAGTGCGTGCGTTCCGCTACTGGCGGCCCGGGTTCGGATCCTGGGCGTGCACTGATGCATCACTTCTCCGGCCATGCTGAGGCTGCGTCCCACATACAGCAACTAGAAAGATGTGCAGCTATGACATACAGCTATCTACTGGGGCTTTGGGGGAAAAATAAATAAATAAATAAATAAATGAAATTAAAAAAAAAAAAGACTAGGCAAACCAATCAATGGTTATAGAATAGTGGTTACCTCTGGGTGGGGGGGTGAGTCTTGACTGGGAAGGGGTAAAGGAAACCTTCTGTTCCATATCTCGATCTGGGTGGTGATTACTCAGGTGTGTGTGTATGTGTCAAAATTTTTGAACTGAGGAGTTCGTTTTGTGTATTTATCGAACGTAAGCTACACCTCAATATGAAAGGTAAACACAATAGTTTGCAAATATTTAGTACATTCAAAGTGTTTCATTATTATTTTGATTCTGCATAATCTAAAATCCCTCCGCACTTGGATTTCATAAGGTTTCGTGGCACCCTCAGTGAACTTCTTTCCCATGTTCCCAACCAGAAAATCATTTGACTCCTTGGGTCACCTCTTTTCCTCCCACAGACACGGGCACGGATTTGGTGCCAGAGAAGCTGCCAGACAACCAGACGGGGAAGGAATGCAAGACTGGTGTTGGTTTGCAAAGGTACCCCGGAGAGCTTTGTCCCTGGGGAAAGGACTACTTCTGTGGAAATGTTCTCAGCATCCTCATGATACGCAACAAATGTGTTCCACTAGCATTAACCATAAAGTGGGCTCTGTCTTCCCACTGGTCTTCATTATGCATAGCAAGATATGTTCTCCTTGGAAAAAAAAATATTCCACGGGCTAAACTAAATATTGTGGAGAGCAAGTTAGGATCTAGCCAGATGCACGGCATTGGGCAATGGGATTCTAAGGACAGAAACTGCCCCACCCGAAGGCCTCACAGAGGTCTATGAAGCAGAAACTCAGTCTTTTTGGCTCACATATCATCAAAAAGCCCTTTAGTGTTACTGCGTTGATGAATTTAAGCCCGATTTTCTGTTAATCAGCAGATGTGGCGTCACCAGCCTCCAGCACAATGTGGACAATCAACAAGTGTTCTCTGAGTGAAGGAGGTGGACTGTGTGTGTTGTACCTCGTAGAACTAGACTGCAATTTCACACTATGTTGCTGTGTTGCTGCCTAATGCAGGACGTGCTGCGACAGAAACGACCATAGCTGAGGCATTTGGTTTAATTAAAAAACACACGAAGCCAAGCTTCCTTAGCTGTCCACCCTGTTCAAGACAAACTTTGTAGTTAATGCAAAGTGGAGTTGTCAGTCTTTGCAGCTACATATCTATATATCGTTTCTCTTTGGCCCTACAAGCCTAAGGGAATAGAGATGGGGGGTGCTGGATGTGGCATCTGTAAATTTGGGATTCCTCAGCAGGGTCTCCCTCCTCACCTTCATCCCTCCCCTTCCCCACTGCAAGCCCCTGGCAACCGTCTGCTCTGTCAGTTGATTTACAGCTGCTGATTAACTGATAACTGGGCCTAACTTCACTAATTCATTAACACTAAAGGATTTCCTCGGTGGTATATTTGGTTTTTAACCTTTTCCGTTGAGGAATTCTGTGTGTGTGTGAAGGGAGAGAGAGAGAGAGATTTATTAAAAGGCATGCATAGTTATACCTCAGTGAGGAATTCCTGACATCAACTGACAGACGAGAGAGGAATAGCTGAGAGTACCGATGGTCTTGGAGCTCCGAGTCTCCCTTCGAAGCTCCACGTCTACCTCACTTGTTCCTTTGGGTGAGTCCCCTTTCCTCTCTGGGCTTCCGTTCCCTCCAGAGAAAAGTGAGGGCAGCAGCCCCGATCCTCTCCAGGGCTCCTTCCAGCTGATACTCTCCTTTGGGCAGGGAAGCTCTGTCATCCCAGGCCTCCTCAGCTCGCCCCGAAAGAAGTGCACCGATGGCACTTGGCATAAGGAAAGTGCCTGAAGGGGGAGGCTTGGCTCATCCCCTGATACTGCTCTCCCATGAAAGCCACACTCAGCCGGGCTGGCAAAGATTCCTTAATACTTTGTGAGAACCTGGGGGGGGGGGGGCGGGTGCGTGGGTCCCTTTATCCCTGACTTCTTCTATGAAGAACCAATCTCATCTGCTGAGGGGGGTCAAGTAATGCTGGCCAAGTGCCAAGGAAAATGTTCAGAACGTTAGTGATAATTTGTCTCGGCCCTCTCGGTGTGTGACACCTGAGAGAAGCAAAGGCAGCCCACAGTAGCCAAACTCAAGGTCATCGTAGTGGAGGATGCATTATACAATATGGTGCCTCCTTCCTCTGACTCATCCCTACGTATACTGGACTCCCAACCTCTCGTCCAACACCTGGTCTCCTCTTTCTCCTACTTTTCCCAGACCACTCCCTCCATTAGTCCCAGGCTCCTTATCTTGACTAGAATGTTAGCATTTCCCCACTGCTCTCCTCCATGACAGTTCCATAGTCTCTCTGAACAAGGCTGAAAACGTCCCTCAGGACTAATTTACCTTCTCCATCTCTTTGGCCAAGGCTGCATTTCTCCCATTTGTCCCTCCAGATGCCCTTCTTATGTGTTTCTTCTCTTCCTGGAACTAGCAGCTCCCGACAAGGCTCTGGGGCTTTTCGAGGTCAGGTCAGAGGTAATGGAGGTGTTAGAGAGATGCAGGGACGATTCAAAGTGGGGAGTGGCAAGCACATCCAGAAACTACATGGGCCTGACTAAGAATCTGTCTTTCCCATCTGGGACATGGAAGCAAAATCTTTATTTCACTCATCCACAGGGACAAGGATGACATTCTTCTGTGTGAAGAAGTGGAGGAACAAGATCTGTCAGCTGAAGAAAGAACATTTTTGGAAGAGTTTCTCATCTTGAAGGAGGAGCTAGAAGAATACATCAGGAAGTTACATGCCCTTGCAGACCACATCGACAAAACCCATGAAACACTCACCAAGGCCAGCATGGGGACCAACTCCGTGGCCGTCATTTCAGGAGCCCTGACCTTCCTGGGCTTAGCTCTTGCCCCAGCAACAGCAGGAGGAAGCGTGGTGCTCTCCACTATTGGTACAGGTTTGGGGACAGCAGCTGGGGTCACCACCGCCTTGACCAACTTTTGGGAACAAGATCACAATCAAAAAGCCCAAGATCAGGCTAGCAGCCTAGGGCCAACACAAGACCAACAGGTCGAGGAAGCTGGGGGAGATGGTCAGAAGCCATCCTACTTCAAGCTTGTCGGCAAGATTGCCTATTGTTTTGGAAGTGCCATCAGGAATATTAAGAAGCACATCCATGACTTTAAGACAGCCAGAGTCCAGCCACACCTAGCCCCTGCTGCCAAGGCTCTCCTGACCACTGGCCAAGTCTCGGCCCAAAGGAGCAGGCAGGTGCAAAACGCCTTTGTGGGTACAATACGAGCGGTGACCAGAAATGCTCACTTGCTGAGTAGTGCGGTGACTGGCCTCTACCTCGGGAAGGACTTGGCCGCCCTCCTGAAGGTCTGGAAGCAACTGAAGGAGGGAGCAAAGTCAGAGTTTGCAAAAGAGCTGAGGGCCAAGGCTGGGGAGCAGGAAAAGAAGCTGACAGAACTCACGCAGTGCCATGAGAGCCTGCAGCAGAAGGTGACGCTGTGATTTCCCTCTTGGGTGGGGCTGGAGGGAGGGGGAAGCTTTAACTGGGGCTTACAGGCACCAAGGTTCACGGGAAGGATGTTAAGGAAACCAGTGTGTGTGTGAAGTTTACATGGATCTTCCTCAGGACGTGGGGCATATGGTGGCCCTGGAGGTCCGAATGGTCTCTAGTACATCTTGGAGATTACGGCACCTGTCCTGGACCCACCTGGGCATGCCTTCTGTTTCTCCCTTGATGCTTCTTGAGGTCCATGTGCCAGGAAGAGGCTCTTCCTGGTTGTACAGAAGAGAACACTGAGCCACAGGGAGTGTTATGGACTGAAATGCGTCCCCCTAACATTCATATGTTGAAGCTCTAAGGCCCAATGTGACCCTTTGGAGATGGGGTCTTGGGAGGTAATTGGGGTTGAATGCAGTCATAGGGGTGGGGCTGTAATCCTATGGGACTGGTGTCCCTATAAGAGGAGAAAGATGCACAAGAGGACTCTCTCTGCCTGCGCTGGCTCAGAGGAAAGGCCGTGTGAGGACACAGCCGGAAAGTGGCCAGCTGCAAGCCAGGAAGAGAGTCCTCACCAGGAACCAGAATCAGCACCTTGATCTGAGACTTGCAGCCTCCAGAACTATGAGAAAATACATCCTGTTGTTTAAGCCACCCAGCCTGGGGTATTTTGTTTTGGTGGCCCAAGCTGACTGAGACAGGAAGCTTATGTAATTCACCAAGTCTCGCAGCCAGGTGGTGGCAGAGTCGGGAAGACAAAGCCAGGAAGCCTGACTGCAGAGCCTGGCCCTGGGTCTCCCCACCATGCTGCACTGGAGCCCTCTGTCGCTTTCCTCTGATTGGTGTTTTTGTTTCTTTACAGAAACTCTTGCAAGAAAAAAGGCTTATGAGCTCCTCTTCGGAGGGAGCCGTGGAAACTCTGCCCCAGCCCCCAGACAGGCGTGCGGAAGCAGGATCCCAAGAGGCAGGAAAGAACAACACAACTGAGCCCAGGGACCTCTGAGCGAAATAAAAGGGGCCAGGGTGGGGGTGGGCAAGGTTGGCAGAGGAGATGCCTGGAGACTTACCAACTGGGAGCACACTGTCAGAGAAGGAGTGTTGGGAAGGTCAATCCATCCCCTCCCTTGTTCTTTCACTGGGGTACAAACTCATTCCCTCCACTTCTTCAGTCCCCCATTCATTCTCACACACACAGTCAGTCCATGTCAAACACGTGTTGATTCATGCTGGGCTGGATATTAAGTGCTGAGGATAAGTCCCCTGGGTAAAGGGATGTTGTGCTCTCTCTTCTACATCAACTCAGCTTCAGCTGCCTCTCTGCTCTCTTCCTCCCCCTCCTGGGTTTGCACACAAAATGATGTCACTGGAACCTGCTCAACCAGATTCCATCAGGAAGGAGAGAGGCCCGAGCCCCTCTCTCCTCCCCACGACTGTCTCCTGGCTTCCCTGTTCACCTACCTTAAACATACTTTTTCTTCTCTATATTTTAGCTGCTATTTTGAAAGTAGCACATGAAGCTTAAGCACAATTTTTTAAAAATTCAGGAAAGTTAAAAATAGGGGGAAAAATAATGTACCAGCCATGGGTGACAACTGTCGGTATTTTGGCGTGGAACTTTCTCCCGTGCTTTACATGCTTTGGGGTGGTAAAGTCGTGGCTTCGAGTCCTTGTCTAGATCACTTGCCGGGGACCCTCCCTCAAGGCGGCATTATAAAATAGGTTTTTTTTCCTGTAATCCACTGGGTTTTCTTTCTTTCCCATTCTCCATTCCCTCCTTTGCCAACAGATCTGTAACTATCCATTTTGCTGTTTTCACTTAGCAATATTTTCTACCATTCCATGTTTCACTTCATTTTTATGGACACTGTTTCTTATGTTGCAAAATATTCTCTTGACTGTATGTACAGTCTTTTAATTAGACATATATTAGTCATCACTCTTTCTGTTTCAAGTGGCCAAAACCAACTCTAACTGGCTAATGCAAAAAAAAAAGGAATTTATTGTCTCACGTGCTTAAAAAGCTTAGAGGTGCAGTGGGCTTCAGGTGTGTCTGGGTCCAGAGGATAAAAATGATGTCATCAGGGGCCGGCCCAGTGGCGTAGCGGTTAAGTTCATGCGCTCCGCTTCGGCGGCCCGGGGTTCACAGGTTTGAATCCTGGGCGCAGACCCTCACACTGCTTATTAAGCCACGTGTGGGGGCGTCCCATACAAAGTAGGGGAAGATGGGCGTGGATGTTAGCCCACGGCCAATCTTCTTCAGCAAAAAGAGGAGGATTGGCAACAGATGTTAGGTCAGGGCTAATCTTCCTCAAAAAAAAAAAAAAAAAAGATGTCATCAGGTGTCTGTCTTTCCATGTCTCAGACAGGCTTCTGCCACCTGCAGGAGAGACGGCCCCAGCATCCCCAGGTGTGCCCCTCCCAGCTGAGGGCTCCCAAGTGGAAAGGGGCAGAGCAAAGGTCCAGGGACCACTCTGATTGGTCAGGACGGGGTCACATGCCTTTGCCTGCGCCACTTGCTGGGATGGGCTATGGGAACTACATGGTAGATGAATGAAGAAAGGAGCTAGAAGAAGAAAAGGCAACAAATGGTGTGCTAGTTGCCCGTCCTCTTTCAGCAACATTTAGATGGTTTCAGATTTCTCATTCGACATAGTGGTAAAATGAATATCTGTGTGTGGAAAGCTTGTTGCCTTATTATTAGAATTGTTTTCTTAAAATAGATCCCTGAACTGGGATACCTAAGGTTAAAACACAACCTTGTGAAGGGAAAGGAGGAATTCCCCCACTCCCACACATCACCATAGTAAGATATATCTTAGGAAATTTGGGAAAGATTTAAAAGTTGGAGTGGAGAGAGAGCCACTGTCAACACTTTGGACCACAGCCTGCCAGTCCTTGTTTTATAAATATTATGACCTAGGCGTTTTAGAGAGTTGTAATCTCTCACCTAGGCCATTGTGTTTCCTGCTTTTATCATGCTCATTTCCTTGTTATAATTTTTTCATGAGCAAATTGTAAGTAAACAGTTTTCTCCACATTTAATATTGTTCTCTTAGGGTATGCACATCCTTCAAGTTTTGAATAAACATTATCAATAAAAATACGTGACACAAAATAAGTAGTCACTAAGCTTGGAGCTTTGTTTGTTTTGAGGACTCTCTGGAAGAACAATAAAGAAGGCGTCAGAGAATGGAGATGTGAGAATCATCTCTGACACTTACTTGCCTGGGCCCGTTTCTGAGTTTTCGTGTTTTCAGCCATGAAATAAGCGTAACCCGGATGAACCCCAGAACTCCATCTGGAGGCAGATTTGTAGTGCCCACTCACAGAACGACAGTCTGGGAGAAAATATCCTTGACAGAAATTCCCGTCCTCACTGAAGTTCTTGAGCCAATATCAAAGGGGAGGGAGAGGTTCGTTCTTCACTCTTCACCTACTTCTCTCTCCTTCTAGACTCTCTTCCATGAAGGCAGAGGCTCCTCAACAGGCTCTTCCTCTTTCCTCTCCCTCTGGCTTCCTGACTCAGCCCAGCAGCTCTCAGCTCTCTCCCTCTCTGCAATGCCTTCCACCCCAAGCTTCTCTCCGTACCAAAGTCTGCTTCTGTGAAGCATGATCGCCTATACCATCTGGAATTCTGGTGAGCAAATGCTGTCATCTCATGACCTCTCCCCACTAGTTCATCTTTGTGCTCCTCACTGGGAAGCCCGTTAACTATCCGTGCTACTCAGGGCAACCCAACCCCTGCCACTGTTGTCCTCTCTCTTCTGGGTTGAGCGGGGTTCTTCATGTGTACCCCTGAGGTGGTGCCAGACCCTCCACCATGATCAGTCAGGAGTTCTGAGAAATTTATTAGTTCTGAGATGTGAACTTTATTTGAGTAAGGTGAGGAAGATGCACACATTCACATGCCCCAAGGAGAATGGAGTAATCAGCCATCATATAAATGCCCCCTGATACCACAACCAACACAAGTGCAAGGCGTTTCCAAAGTCTTGGGCCTTCCAAAGTGGCTAGTGAATTTGTTGCACCCATACTGAGGTCTGTGACCGCAGCAAACAGGTGGTCAACAGTCCTGCTCATGACCTGCCCTCCCATAGTAGAATCCGGTTAGGGATTCTCAGTCATTAAGCTGAACGCCAGGATGGCTGCGGAAGGGGGAGAGTCCCTAATTAGGTTTGAGAAACCTCACTTACCCAGGTCCATCAGCACCTGACTAGCTATGAGTGGCCTCAAAGGACCTTCATGTGTCATTCGAGCCTGTCCAGGTCCACCCTCACCACCCTTGAGCTTCAGGTGGCCCTTGAATTTGTGATGAAATATAAGCTCTTGTCAGCTATAAATCACACTCCCTTGGTTCTAAAATCTAACTTTCAACCAAAAGAACACTGAAAGGCCATTGTGTTCTAGTCAATGCACAATACTACATTTGAAGAAATTGCTGTCCAAGGAAAAGTATATTGGAAAGCAATTTGAACCCTTTCTTGGTCTCTCAAGAAAACTAAAAAGGTGAGTGTTGGAGGTGGGGGTGGGGTGGAGGGAGATAATTCGTCTCGACAAAATCTCAGTGGAAAACTAGCCTTCCTGTCTCTGATGGGCAAGATCATGTAGATCTACACTATTCAATATGGTAGCCACTAGCCATGTTGCTATTGAGCACTTGAAATGTGGCAAGTCCAAATTGAGATGTGCTATAAGTGTAAAATACACACTGGATTTCAAAGACTTTTGCTATGAAAAAATACACAAAATACCTAATTAATAAGTTTAATTGATCACATGTTGAAATGATAAGATTTTGGACATATTGCATTAAATAAAATACATTATTAAAATGTTTCACCTATTTATCTTTATTTTTTTAATGTGACTATAGAAAATTTATAATTACATATGTGGCTGCATTAGATCCTGTTGGACAGCACTGATGCAGACAATACAATAAAAAAGATGAAGATAATTTGAATGATGAGTTGGGGTTTGTGGGGCTAATAAATAGCACCTCTTTTCTCCCACCCAAGTTCAGAACCAGTGAAGAAGTAAACCAGGAGTCAGGCAGGTGGAGATGCAAGTATCAACTTGATTCAAGTTGTTGGAGGAAGTGGCTTTGGGTTGGTTGATCAAGTTGGCTTAATAATACTTCACTCCTGCATTAGGTGGTCTTAACCCCCCCCCCCCCGGCCACATGCAGTATTGGACAACCTCGGGCCAGCCCTGTAAAGCTTAGGAGCATAGCCTACTGAGTGTTCTTGGAAGGCCACCAGATCCTGAATCAACGCCAGTTACTTCTGGCCAACTTGCCCACCATGTAACTCTCTCATCCTTCCTTGGAGTTGGTAAGCAAGAGGACGGAGAGAGGCCAGGAGTGTTACCTGGATGGACTCCCTCCATGTGGAAACAGGTGTGGGGAATAAATGGTCTTTCCACCACTTCCTGACCTTCTTTTAATTAAGCATTGGATTTAACCATCAAGTCCATGATCAGCAGGTGGCAATCAACCGTCTAGCAGAACAGCCCTGCTCGAAACTCCGCCCAGCTGCTCCCTCCGTTCCAATCACTCTCTGAATAATGCTGGCTCTGCTGTTGGGCAGTATCAAGTTTGCTGCCAAGAGGTTTTGAAATGGGTCAGACCAGAACATTAACTAACCCCAAGTCTTGCTATTACTCTCTTCTCCCATAACCCAACTCAAATGATATCAAGCCATGTCCAATACAGCTCTTCAGAGATTTTTCAGTGAGATCCAGATTTAGCATAAAGATAGTCCGATGGTAAAAGGCCAAACATAAGAAGCCCCATATTGCATAGAAAACCCCTTTCCATTGCAAATTTCCCCTGAAGAAATACGAAAATTTGATTTCTTTGCAAATTAAAATTTAAAGGAATTAGTCTGAAATCAAATTGTGTCGCCCTCATGAGTGAAAAATTCAAAGAAATCAAAATCTTTTAAAGTCTCAAAGAATCAAAGTCCCACATCAAATTCTCTTCTAGAGTCTCATGCAATTTTTAAAGTCAAA